TTCCTCTCTGATAAACATGTTGCATGATGTGTATGAATTACTCCAAGAACTTGGCAAACACAAACAGAAGTTACTGCAAAATTTATATTTTTATACACTTTTTAGATGTAATTTGGCAAACTGTATAAACAATTTGTGTGATAATGACATTTGTTTTCCCAATCCAAAAGATGGGAGGAAAAACCCACATAATTTACTAAAATTAAAGACCACCAGATGAAATTACTTGAATAATGACAACTGTATGCAATCCATTGAAACAAATACACATCATTATCTGCTTACCATGCTAAAACTTGCATCAGTGACCGAAACAAAATAATATACGTTTAATATATTTATATTCTGCGCATTATAAGCTTTAACATGATAGCTAATTTACTGCAATTGACTTACTACTGGCAAAGTTATGAGTATAAAAGTGTTACGGCCTCTCTGTATTAAAGTGTTGTCTACAATTAGTGCCAGATTCTTGCTGGTAGACTGAATTAGTCACCAAACAACACAGGCCTAGCTCTAGAGTCATACAAACAACGTTCTTCTGACTCATTGGCCATCGTAGTCAAAAGACAGATCATATTATATAATTCAGCAATTTTAGTTTGTCCAATAGTTTAAATATTTCATACAAAAATTGCAACAAAATGACTTGGTGACTGTATTGAAGCTGAATGTGTACCTCCAAATCAACAGAAATCGCCTTAGTCAGCGTGTGATGTGGCGAGTCTTGCAAGTGATTGGCCTAGGCACCCTATAAACCCACTCAAAACTCTTTATACTTTTAGTCTGAATGAAAATTAAAATCAAATCAATCTTAGTCTCATGAATCGATGAATCATTCAAACGTATACGTTGTTATAAAAAGAGTCTTCTACACTTCATTACATTTTAGACGATTTAATATGCACCACTTTCGTCTCTGCTCTATGCATTAGCTTAGCTTTTTGACCAATGTTTACAAAATCATACCCACTCGGCAAAAACGCGATGACTTTATTTTTGGTGACTAATACTGTCTATTACTCAGTTTAAAAATTAGGGACATTACGCTGATTTTCAGTTGGCAAGTTTTATATGTGTGACCTAGGGTAATTGATATTGAAATTCAAGATGAGCTGTAAGCAACAGAATATCATATTTTCCTTTTGTTATGGAACATTACAGAAGACTATTATAGGCCTGTAATAGATATTCAAGATCTACTACACATTTGTTTCATACTTATCTGAAAAGAACAATCATAATCTGCTAGTTGAAATTCAGTGATACAACAATTATTAAAACAAACAAATCAAAATTTGTTACGATGTTAGGTTTTATACTGAAGACCCCTCAAAGCTAGACTTCCAGATATCAACTGAAGTAGTTTCCCATGAGCCATGAACAGCTGTTTTCCAAGACCACAGCGGTGCACTTTACACTTACACATGAGGGTAGTACCTAAAAGCAGTTTGCGATTTGTAATCATTTCTTTACTTGTGCTTGGGCAGCTTTCTTGGCTTTGATTAATTCCACAATTTCCTATAAAAACAGGAAAAGTACCTAACAGTTAAGAATTACAGTAATCATATGTAGGCATGCATACATGTGTGTATATCTGTTTCCTTATATAGAAAACAGGAAAAGTATATAAGGTTAAGCATTTGAATCACATTCTTTATTTGTACAAATTTTCTGTTCCAATCAAATTTTGAATGTACTGCGTTGAGCTAGGCGCCGAAATTACCTTACACTACCACGTCAAGACCTTGATCGTTTATCGCCGTTTTCTCAAAACCTGCCAGCTAAATTAGCGTTATTAAAATCGTTATAACTTTGGATCTAGGAATCAGATTTTGATAATTTTTTACTATTATAAAATTTATAATGTGCTTATTCATGTGGTTATCATATTTTAATTAAAATGACATTTTGCGACATGCGCAAGAAATTGCTTGATATCCTTACATATGGTCATGATGTGATGTCATCATGACCCTATTTAGGTATTTTACATGTTTTTGCAAAAAATAACTGGGCAGAGCTTTAGATACCGAAACATATGACCATTCAATTCAAAGCACAAACTGACAGCAATGGCACACATGTATGAAGTATTGTGTTAAATTGTTTGTTGGTAAAGTATGATTTCCGTGTATTTATTTATAATTATCGTACCTTGTATCGTTTCATACATTCCTTCTTTGTCCTGTTTGGGACGGCTTCAGCAATCTTGTCCCAACGATCAGGGTAATCCTTAGGGTACGACTTCAATGCTTGTTCTAAACTCTTCTGCTCCTCACTAGTCCAAGCCTTAGGAATATCAGCTAAATAATTTAAAGAACAGTGATTCCATTAAGATGTTATTTATTCTCTTTATTCCGGTGTAAAATAGAGCATTGATACAATTTTCTTTTAATTATTCACTACATGCAAAGCATTACACAATTACAGAAATAAAGTAAATTTTAAAAAAGTTTCCAACTTATGCCACAAATTGTTTACTAATATCAATCTTAAGCAGCTCTAATGAAATATCTTAGTTCTGCAAAGCAGTGTATAATCCAGTGAGTTGAGGTAGGGAATTTAATTTGCTGTTCAAGCTATATGTCCTTTGGGGGAACAAATGCAGCAATGGCTGATGATCAGTGGCTGGTAAAGACAGAATGGCTATAGCTACCTTCCATCTGTGTGCAAGCAGATCTAAAGTAGATTCACTTGAGAAGGCTGAGACATCAACGGCAGGAAGGAATTAGGAAGGTGGTCACATGACCAGGAATGGACCCAAGTGCAGCAGACAACCTACCATCTTTAAGAGTCAACTGAAAACATATTTGTTCTGTAAAGTATTCCGAGAATTATTACTTTTTTTTTTGGCTTGGTTGAATTTTTGTTTCTTTTCGATTTTTTCAATGTACAGCTCTTCTAATAGAGGTTTCATGACATTAGGCACTTTATAAATCCAGGATATTATTATTATTATTATTATTGTATGCCAAGATCTTGCTGATTGGAGAGCTTCAACAGAGGGTTTCACTTGACAGACTGTGAAATTGATGGTAGAATGAAATTAGGAAGAGGGTCACAAGATCAGGAATGGACCTAAGTGAAGCAGACAACATATGCCAAAATCATACTGATTTGGAAAGCTTTAAGAGAGGGTTTCAACTGACAAGCTTTGGGTCAAGAAAGGACTGTTCATGTCGTCGCCCTTTTCCTACCAATCCTTTAACCACAATTCACGAAAGATCAAACTAAACTACCATAGCTTAACATACTCGATAAGAGGAAGAACAACTGACAGGCTGAGATATAGATGGCAGGATTGGAATTAGGAAGAGGGTTACAAGATCAGAAAAAAAACATATATATAGATATTTCATAAACCACACAACTGTAATAAGATATTTCAAACCAAACTACCTTCTAGACGTTCAGATGGATTTGGGATATCAGACTTCTTCGACTTTGGCACGGACTGTTCAAACTTCTCAAATGCATTCTTGTTTGCCATCTTTTTCATGTCTGCATAAAAACAAATTTCCATTCAAAAAATTCAAATTGTGCTTTGCTTATAAAACACAATACAATCTTTTTAATGGAAAGATAAAAAATATACTATTAGTATCATTTTACATAATCCTGTACTGACCAACTTTCTGTAAATTCTTTGCCTTTTTCAGAACATCTTTGGCAATTCTTGTGACTCCGGAAGTTGAATGCTGATTAATAAAATTAGCAATTACCTCCCACCTGTAAATCAAACCATTTCAGGATACAAGTCAATATTATAAGCACATACAGTGGTGCAGTAATTAGTTTTAATACTAAAAAAACTAAGAATAATAAAAACTAAACAAATAAAAAAAAAATAATAAAAAAAATTAAATAAACAATAACCAAAATAAAAAAAGTCAGTCTTTGGCTTGAAACATGATGTGGCCATACACATTGCTTCTCTCCACCCAGAGTATAAGTGGGTACCTGGTAGGGTTAAATGCCAAAATGCGCGGATGTAGCTGCTGCAACTTTATGGAATACAGTAGTTTGTGTTCCATAGGCGTCTAATCCAATGACCGGGGGTAGTAATGTGAAGTGCTTAGAGGCCTTGTTGTCATTAAGCGCTATATAAATATAACATATTATTTATTATTATTATTTTATATAACAGAATTAATTTAGTGCAATATCATGTTGCTTCTATGCTTCACCCACACAATACTCTTGTTGCTTTTATGGAAACCAAACCTATATAAGTGATAATTATTATATAATAATTTGTTGTATATTACATTTCTTTCTTTACGTAAATATGAATTATGATTTACCTAGATACCGTGCCAGCAGGGAATAGGTTATTAGCCTTGATGAGGAGTTGCAAGTCCTCATTGTTCCATGCTACTCCATCACTTCCCACTCCTGTTGCCCCCTTGCCTCCGGACAGCTCCTGTTGTCGTTTTAGTTCTTTCTCCCTCTCCTGTTCAATCTGATTGGTGACTTCCTTCAGCTGTAAAAGAATGTTGTTTTAAGGTTAAAAAAAATTGTTAATCAACTATCGTTTCCATAATTTACTTTTTTTTCCCAGTGGCCGTTGTTAAACCTGTGGTACACAAATTGCCTACCAGCTCAAGTTTTTCTCTGCTCCTTATGGGATATACCTAGTCATGCCACAATTTAATGTACGTAGACAAATTCATTCAATGCCACAACATCCTCCCATGCAGCTGTTTATTCTCCTGAGTTGGGAGAGTTTATATTACTACTTTGTTAATTAACTGTATTGCTACTATATTTATTATTACTATTAGAAGTTATAGTCTATAATCCCACCTGATCTTCAAACACAGTCTTTGCAGCATCTTCCGTTGACATACCAGCATTTAATTTTTGTAAACTGCAAAAAGAATATCAAAGAGATAATAATATTATAATATAATAATGTTAAGGATGAATGATATTGCTGTTAATGATGGTGATGACAATGAAAATGAAAAATATGACAATGGTGATGATAGAGAATGAGGATGATGATGGCAATTGATAGAAAATATTGATGATGATGATAATGATAGAAATTGATTGAGCATTGAGAGAGCAGCTTAGCTCATTCGGCTAATCTGGGGGTAGCCACTGTGTGTACCTGAACCGTGGAGATCTCTAGGTCCCCGGTTCAATTCCCATCGCTGCCTCTCCTTGTGTTTCAGCTACAGGGCTGAAATACAAGTTACAATAGCGCACCGTCTTTCGGATGAGACGTTTAAGCCGTTGGTCCCGTGTGCATTTATGGCCCATGTGCACGTTAAAGAACGCAGTACACTCTTCGGAAAAGAGTAGGGGATTGTCTCCCGGTGTACTTCCCAATCACCACCAGAAGGACCCCACTTAAAATAAGTCTTCTTCTAGACTTTCATGGGCTATCCTGGTCTTTACACCCAATAAATCCAAAGAGAATGATAATGATGATGGGGGAAATTGATAGAGAATGCTGATGAGGACAACGATAAAGACGATATACTGTATAGTTAATACATTAATGCAGAAGTATTATTCTACCTTTCTAAATTTAACCTCTGACACAGCATCTCGACAGCTTCCATTCTCTTCACTAAATCCCCATCTTCATTAAGAAAATAGTTGAATTTCTGAAACAACAATGCACAGAGGATTAAGCTGTTAATCCACAGAAGGACAAACAAATATAAATAATAATGATAATAACAAACAACTTGTGAAGTCTTATTTACTCAATCTATATTGAGTAATATTTCATAAATTTGGAAACCCACCTTGCACGTGTCTCGGAGTGTTTTTCTTTCGTGTCTCATCGCTTTCTTTAATGCCTCTCTCTCCTTCTTAGCTTCCTCAGCCTACAATGAATATTAACATCATTAAAACTGAGCAATCAGTATATTATAAAAAAACACATTTGTGTACATATTAATTATAGTGTAAACTTACAATTGACATAGCAACTGCACCACCATTTTAAATTCCATGCAAGTTTACAATATATAAGATGTTATGTTATACATTATTGCATAGCTGTGATAATGATGCATATTCATGTTTTGTAATGATCAGGGCAATAATCAATTTCCATTGTTACCTTGGCCTTGTCTTCAGCTTCTTGTTTCACCTTGGCTAACCTTTCAACTTCCATAGCTGCTTCTTTCTCCTAAAGAAAAAAAACATGATAACATGAAATGCAGGGATCACTCAAAACTGCACTTCCAATCCAAATTTTAGTAACTAAATACATGAGATTTAATTATTAAACTTTGAACTTTAAACTTTGAAAATTTTGAACTTTGATTGTTCACTTACCTTTTTCCTTTCAATCTCGACCGCTTTGATTGCATCTTGCTTGGCTTTCTTCTCCGCAGCCTTTCGTTCTTTTTCGTCTTCTTTAAACTTCTTTATCCTTGGATCACATGCATATGCATTATCTGTGTAACGACAGGGAGTGGAGTTGCTTTAATCGTAAGAAAAGACTTGTTGTCACAGGAATTGAACCCAGGACCCTGTGATTAGAAGGCAAGCATCTTAACCACTGAGCTATTCAACCACTAAGCTATTTCCAAATCCATTGCTGATTGAATGCAATTTTAGTCCAACAGGATCTGTTTATTACAGTAATCTGGCTCATTCTGGATTAACTTCAGGATTAATTAAGGGCCCGTTAGAGCAAAAAACGGCAATTGTATTCTGTTAAATTCACCGGTTAATCTAGCTGAGCACTACTCCAAAGGTGAAAAATTTCAAAGAACATCAAGACTCATTCTTTGTTTACTTTCTAGCTGCTATACTCAGCCCATCCATATACCCCACAGTGCAGTACACGGGAACGAGAACATCAACACTCTTTCTTTGTTTACTTTCTAACTGCTATACTCAGCACATCCATATACCCCACAGTGCAGTACACGGGAACGAGAACATCAACACTCATTCTTTGTTTACTTTCTAGCTGCTATACTCAGCCCATCCATATACCCCACAGTGCAGTACACGGGAATGAGAACATCAACACTCATTCTTTGTTTACTTTCTAGCTGCTATACTCAGCCCATATACCACACAGTGCGGTACACGGGAATGAGATCTGAGCTCAACAGTTTATAATTGCTGCTTTAAAATCTGTATGTATAGGCTAGTTAATTCAAGATTGTTTCTTGGAGTAATGGTAAATCCACAAGTTGAACACGTAGCTATGATAATACTAGCCACCATGGCATGTGGTGGCTAGTAGTAGCATGTGAGGAGAGGAAGGAGAGCGCGACAACAGCGGGTTCTAGCTGAATCCAGGCCTGGGCCGTAACCCTATTGAATTTTGCGCGCTGGACTGTGGACAAAACATTTGAAAAAACAATTAAGGTTGATTTATCTCCGGCTCTATGGTCATCCTATACATGGGATGCTACCCAGCAAATTTGGTGGTCAAAATTGTCAAGGATAATCCAGATGGTAAGGTAATTAGGCAAGTGTCCGAGCGGTTTTAGAAAGTATGTACCGGTGAACCAACCAGAATATCACACAGATATTTTTTCGCTCGAACAGGCCCTAAGATTATATAATTATTCTGTAGCTTACCAACAAGCTGTCTTATTCTAACAACTTCTTCTTTCTTTCGTTTTTGACGTTCCACTTTATTCTGCTTCTCAATCCACCTTCTCTCTTCTCGGTTTTCCCCCTTTTCTTTTTCTTCTTCATCCAAATAAGAAAATTCTCTCCAGGACTGAAAATTATACCTACAATTAACAGACGTCAACAAATAAATTTAGTTTATTGATATTACAAATCAATCTAACTTCTTGTGTGTATAATAGAATTACAAATATGATGACAATGATAATAAAATAGGATATTAAGAGAATCTTACTTTAACAAATGATAAAAGGCACATACAACATTAAAAAAACAAAACAATGATTTGATATCTTAATCTTTTTCACCAGAGAAAATTGAAAGTAGAATTTCTATGGCAATGCTGATATTAAGGATTCTTTTCAGCTGTTACTTGCTGCTGTTGGATGTTGTCTACACCACAGCAGGTTATCAGCAACATCAAATAATTTTAATTAAATATAATCTTGGCCTAGTTATGCAAAAACATATTGTTTTCCTTACCAAAAGTTGTAGAAGTTGTTGACTTCATCAAAATTAGAATTTTCACCACCTAAGGCTGGAACTCTTGCTTTGACAGACCATCTGAATTATAAAAAAATAAATATAGTGTACATTTTCCTATTACAATATTAGATTTTAAAAATGTAATTAACAGGTACCATTATTTAGCAGGGTTAATGCAGCATATACAAATTTACAAAAATGAGGATACACAGTCTCATGTCACCTTCTTATTAATACTTCAGTCCACATACACCAGGGGCGGATCCAGAAATGTCCAAAAGGGGGGGCCGGAAGGGGGGCCGAAAGTTGGGCCGATTGAGACAACACTGTCGCAGGGGGTCTGGGGGCATGCCCCCGCGAAATTTTTGTGTTCTAGACGCCCGAACATAACATTTGAGGCATTCTTGGCCATCATTTTTTTCTTTTTCTCTCTTTTTTTCCCTTTTTTTTTTCTTTTTTTACCTCCCAAAAGGGGGGGCCGAGGCCGGGCCGGCCCCCCCCCTAAATCCGCCCCTGTACACTGCACCAATACCCCACATCATCAACACAAAGATGTTGGTGCACTAATACACAATTAATACAAATGAAGCTGTAGGTTGGTGAGTCCTTGCTTTCCAATCCCAGGGTCCTGTCAATCCAGGGTTTGCTCACAACTAAAAATCAGCTCCACCCACTAAACCTCATAAAGAGACTTTGTTCATCAGCATTACACATACTGTACAGTTAGTGTAAAGGTAAAGGTAAAAGTAAAGGTAGGAGAATAATCCATAACTTGCAGCGCCATTGTGCTGAATTGCGTATGGGCGTGGTCCATGATTACCTAGCAGCCGTAAAGAGGCGCTTCGTGGTAGCTACAAGTTTACATCATTCCACAACGACAGGGGCTGAAATGAACGATGCAATGGGTTCTTTAAAGTGCACACGATCCAGATGTATACACTGGACCTCCATTTTACGTCTTTATCCGAAAAGACTTGGTTCTACCAACCGAACCATGGGTGAGGAGCGGCTGGAACCAGCGCCGATGTTAAGGCTGTAGCTAGTGGTGCCCCTGCCTTACCGCTCGGCCACTCGACTCGCGGTAAGGCACTGTCAAGTGTATTTGGTTTTGATGAGAAGGAAATTTGTAAAAATACACAGCTTTTGAGACACCTACTTTTTAATGGTTCAGTCAAAAGTATACCACATCACTATCATACATTATCAACACAAAATGTTTGTGCCTGTTGGTGACCAATAGTCAATATGGCACCTACTGTAGTGTACAAAAATAGTGGTTAGGTGGGCATATACTCGAGTCAGCAGACAATGGCATAACATACCTGGCATTTTTCTTGAAAACATCTCGGAATACGTCATAGAAATTTTCTTTTGAATTTGCATTGACACTTGGGATTTCGTTATCAAATTGGGGATCAATACTATCATAGGATTTTCTCTTGGTTGGGTTGCCAAGGATATCATAAGCTGTAAATATAAAAACATAGTAATATACCATCCGAATTTGTTGGTGTCTGATGTGCAAGACAAAAAATGTATATAGCACCCTCTATGTACTAATCACGAAATTGGGCGCCCTCTAAGTTATTTTTTAAATTGTAGTGGAACTGCTACGGATTACATTTGTCGGTCGGTAGAGCTTTGGTCTTTTATGACCGGTCGGTATTCACTTAATTTTTATGAATTTTAGGATATACGGTAATCAGCCTATACATAAATTTCTATCATTTGTAAATGTTTGTTTATAATGTGTGAGATAATAAAACTTCAGTATGAGACGTAAAAAGTGGATGCTCATGCGTGAGACTTACACATTATGAGTGAGAGTTGGCAGGTGTAAAGCTGAATTTGTGCGCCAATACCAAGGTATCCTACTATAATCATCTCCCAAGTTATTCTATTCATTTATTATTTCTGGTGAGACTGTGAGCTTTCAAATACTCTTGTTGTTGCCTTCATTTTAATAATATTTAATAAATAATATTTAACCATATTTTCTTTACCTTTTGTAATGCAGGTAAAATAGTCATCATCTTCACTGACCTTCTCAACATGCCCAGTTTTCTTCCTCTTATCTGGATGATGTTTTAAAACCTTGTGTTTATCTGTAATAACAAAAAGTTACCAATCTTGCTATTTTATATGGATACGTGTTCGGTGTTATTTCATATGAACGATGATGTAATCACCCTAAAGGCCAGCTTAATTGCTCGACTAACACAAAAGTTTCCAACGGTACACAACTGTCGAAGGTACGTCAGACAGATTATGGCTTACAAGAATTTGTAGAAAGGTAATAATAATTGTTTGTTGACATATTTATATCATGTTTTAAAAAAACAGAGATTATTTGATTCATGAATAAAGACCAATTCTCATATCGACAGACTGAATAGACTTTTGCAAGACTCACCACCAACATAGACCTAACAGCCCCACCACTTAACAAAAAAAAAACTAAAAAAAATTAAGATGTTACCAAATATAACATGCTTCATCTGAAGAAGAAACTACTGAATGTAAGAATGACTTACATGCTTTCTTGATATCATCTTCAGAGGCCCTGTATCTCAACTTTGAAAGTCCCAGTACTGCATAGTGATCTTGGTCCTGCAATAGGGAGATTGATCATCTGTGCATACAATTAATAAAGTGAGGCATGTTGTGGCAAAATGGCTAAGTTTTAGTAAAAATTGAAATTCATATTTAATTAGTACAGTGTATTTTCAGTATTAATTGAAATTGGACAATTCAAGCTTTGGTTATTGGGAAGTGAAAGCACAGCACTCCTAGAGTCAAGATAACATTTAAAGTTTGAATGATTGCCATCCAAAGTTATTTTTGCATACATTGTTTAATAGAATTAACTACCAAAATAACCTTAAATATATGATTTGTTGATCATTTCCAGAACTACTGTAAGACTTTGGGAAATAATTAATTAGACTATTGGGACAGTCCCACACAATTTTTCTAATGGTTCACAAAGAATGGGTCCAAATTTTTAAAAATGTGTCCAAATTATGTAATTTTATGCATAAAATGGGTCAATTTTTTGAAAAATGGGTCCTGCTATAGCTCATTTACTCAATACTGGCCTGTGCGACAACTTAACCATTTTGCCAAGACATGCCTCATGTATTAAGATTATTTAAACACAAAATTGTATTAGTATTAATTTACTCACAACATTACTTTACAGATTGATTCTTCAGTTGGGAGTTCTGAATAAAGGCATTTTCTCAAATTGAATTTATTTTTCTGAACTTATTTTTCATATTTTTTGGTGTATGAAATGCCAACATTCTGCACAGGTTATTATTTTCACTTCTGACTGACTACATGTTCAATCCATTTATTTTGCTGCTCAATGTGGAATTCTATAATAAGTGTTGTATCATGTAGTCGTTCATAAACTGATGAGGGTTCCTATTGTATTTTATTGTCAAAACCAGTTGGTGAACACTTTCACGATATTAACTCTTATTTGTTTTTTGTTTAGTTACGTTATTTTGTCTTGGAATATCAGAAGTCTAGTAAAAAAGAACATATTTTTTATTATATGATATTGGAAATGCTCTGTATAATATAGTTCTTTTAACAATTTTAATTAATAATAATAATAATAATAATATGTAGGTTTTTATATAGCACTCTATACAACTAAGTCTCAGAGCACTTTTTAGATGCATATGGGGGAAATTCCATAGTTAGCTGCATGAAATATATCAACACATTCTGCACTCGAACCACCATATGCACCCATTTATACTCCTGGGTGGAGAGAAGCAAGGCAGGTAAAGTGCCCTGCTCAAGAACAAAAGTGAAATGCTCAGCGAGGGATTGAAGCCCCAACTGCGAGGATGAGAAACCAAACTGTTCCTGCTGCGCCAATCCACTTCCACAATTGATTAATAAATGGCAAACAACTGAATTATACCTTCCACTCCTTTGGATTGAGCGTCTTGAGCATAGTGTCATCTTCCTCATCAAATATGGTTTCCTCCTCCTCGTCTGATGAGCTGCTAGATTGAATCGACTCATTGTGTGATAAAGTAAGCCGATTGCGGCGTCTCTGTGAGAATGCTTCATACCATCTTCCAACTGGTTCTATCTTAACAGTAACTGGACCTGAGTAGAAAAGTATAAATAGTACATAAGCCAATGCACCAAATTTTAGATTACAGAGTAACAGGCATGTAAAAAATCTGTTCTGCTTCTTCACATTAATGTATGGTACAGTATATACTGTTTGTAAATAGCAGACTTAATTAGTCTGGAACCCTCCGTATTCATTTAAACACAGAATTTTGGTAATTATTAATACTGAGGGTGCACTACTGTACATTCCTAATGCAAAACGTTTGTCAAAGTTCATCACCGAGTGGCAAAAAGAAAATTCATAGGCCCATTCGAGGCCTTCATAAAGGTGGAGACGATGATTGCCACACTCTTTCACTTTCTTGGCCTAGCGTGCCTGCATTTGGAAACATCCAATGAAATAAGACAAAAATGCTTTCAAAATGGAGTAAAAATAGAAAAAACAAAATTTCTTAAATTATTTTTAGCCTATATTTAACTATGCCATATGTGAGTTTCATCCATGTAGCTTTCGTATTTTTGGCACAACAAAAAGGAAGATGCAGAAGCTGCTGGCGCATCGGTTGTGGCTTGGACTCCCAACCTCGAGGTCGGGGGTTCAAAACTCTCACTGTGCAAATCGCTAGTGTGCTTGGGAAAGGCACTTTATCTACGGTTGCCCCTCTCCACCAGGAGTACAAGTGGGTACCTGGTAGGTTCCAACACAACTGCGCTGATTACTAGCTGCAATATTATGGAATAATTATATAATTTAATTTGGTGTTCAGTTTGTGTTCCATATGTGTTTGATCCAATGACTGGGGTAGTAATGTAAAGCGCTTAGATGCTTTGTGCATGATGCGCTATATGACATATTATTATTATTATTATTATTATTATTATTATTATTATTATTATTATAACCAGTTTTCTGATTTTACTACATGCAATTGCCCTATCCTGGAATATTTTTTTGTCTACAAAGTAATGTGCTGCAAGCGTTTTAGCCAGGGCTAAAAATTGTAAACATTGAAAGAAGTCTATAAAATGTTATTTTTTTATTTTCTCCTCCATCTTGATGTTTCGGCAAAACCATATAGGCCTAGGGCTTGGCCTAGACAAACACAGATCATTTCGGTCGCGCCTTCATTTCGGTCGCGTCGTATTGTTATGCATTTCGGTCGCGATAAACAGCCTCAGTATGGAACGCCAATGTATGCACAAGTGTTTTATGTTTGGAAAGTAATTTTTAAAGGGTTCGGTATTTTTAAAGTTTTTTTGGTGTGCGTTTCAGACTGGGTATTAATTTTATTTATTTTGTCTTTTTTTTACAATACTTGACTATCATAGGCCTAATAGGCCTATTGTTTGTATTTTTTTTAAGTATGTTTGTTGTTTCAAGTTTTTTATTGTTATTAATTACAAGTTATTTGAATATAATTTTAGCATGTTCTTTTTCTTCTTACAGATTCAGAAGTGAAAAGTCAAGTACCCCTTATTTGTATTTATCAATTTCTGAATTATTCATAATAAAGGCCTACGATTGTTGTTACGATTATGATTTTAATTTGTTTTAATCAAATATACTTTTATATCAGAATATTAAAATTTTTAGTATTTGTACCTTCCATTAAAACTATAGTATTTTACAATTCATGTATTTTTTTCTATAAATATCATCAGATTGATGACTTGAAGTTATGGTGACATGAAGTAGGTGAACGCACTTGAACACCTTCACTGCCATGACCTGCTAAAAATAGCAGTTATCTATATTTAGCATCTGACCTACTTATGTCTTTGCAGTGTAATGCGTTCACATTCCTGAAGGCGGCGTACAAAGAATATGCCTTCTCACCCTCATGAGCACAGTGGGAAACCTTGGTTGGTTACCAGGCAACAAGTACAGGAGGCCTCGAAGTAGTGAATTTTTCTAGCTTTAGAAGGAAGCCCGCCCGAAGACCGAAACCGTGGAATGGCTATCATGTATTTAAAATTATATACAGTATTAAAACTTCATTTTACTATGTATTTTATAAACATCAGAATATATATAAAAAATGGAAATAAAAACAAACAAGAAAATACAAACCTTGTGCTGCTTCACCTCAAGAGTACCATGGGAATCTAGTTTGTGGGAAATTAAATTCTAGCGCAACTATAGAATAGGACTAGGAAGAGTAATTTTGAATATAAAAGAAGCCTGAAATGGGCCATTAAAATGTACGGTGTTTAATTATATTTTATGCGGAAAATATTATGAAAATACTATATATTTCCTTCATTTTCATTCATCATATATCATTCAGTATGTTCATTTATCAAATTATAAACATGATCAGAACATTTAAGATAAATGGAAACGTAAAAGACAAGAAAACAAATGTATGAAAAACTAATCTATTGACTATATTTATTTCATAAATCTCCATTCAATTTATGCATCAATAAAATAAATATCGCAACAAACGTTAAAAAGAAACTTGTCTCAAACCAAGTAGACTTTGTAACATTTTCGTTGTTTCTGTAAAAAAAGAATAAATAACACCAAGTGATACACGTAATAATAATAATCATAAACTATAATATTATAGTACAGTAATACAAATAATTGTTAGTAAACTAATGTTTTATGTAAGTTTTGTGTTTAAAAAAATACTATACTGTACTGCTTGAATCCCTTGTTCCAGATATATTTGCGTGCGGTCGCACCGTCGGCGCGCCATACATGATACACCGCGACCGAAATGCATAACGAAAATAGCGCGACCGAAATTAAGGCGCGACCGAAATGATCGGATACCGCTTAGCTAGGCTAGACTAGGGCCCCTATAGGCCTATTAGCCTACTAGAGAGTCTAGGCCTAGGCCTCTCTCTAGGAGTCTATAGAAAACAAAATTTTATATTTATTTTTTCCGCCCTCCTCTGACGATTTAAACAAAAAATGAATTAAAAATGTCTCGCCTTACTGTAACTTAGTCTTTAGGCCTAGGTTCAATGCCTTTCTCTAGACCAGGACAAGCGGCTGCGCTCCGGATAAGGAAAGCCATGTGGGTGGGAGAAGCCGCCTAGGCCTAGGTCCTATGATGGCTGGCTGTCTACACTCTCTGATGGGTGACAATGACATAAAGGCAGGATAAAAGTTTTACCAACTTACATGGCAATCTCCCGAGTACTGTGGAATTGGTCTGAACGTTTTCTTCCAACAGCATTACGCTATATTTTCAGTAAAACTCTTTCGGAACTTATCTTTAAAAAGTGTAGCCTCGCTCAGGGTCAGGCTCTTTTCAGAGGTAACGTTGAGGGCGTTTATAGGTGTAATTTTGCCCTACCTGAATGTACCGAATACTCAGTACATTTGAAAACAACTGTGAAAAAAAAAATCGCAAGTTGTGCTCGAGTGGGATTCGAACCCACAATCTCCAGATCACTAGCCTGGCATCATACCTCTAGACCACCGAGCTTGCGCCTGATGGCCAGGGTTGGGGGCGTTCTTAATAATTCCCGTTCAGAGAAGAGATAGAGATATACTGTAATAATGATATAAAAAGAGTTGCGGCATTGAGAATTTAGAAGCCATTTGTGTCAAACGCGATGCGCGTTCTGTGTCTAACATGATGTGCGTTCCTGTGTATAAAATTGTATAATACAGTTAGCTTCCTCCTTTATAGTTAATTCCATTTAATATTTTTAGCAGTTGAATTTCATGTAACTATGTATTTTTTATGCTTTCACTACTTAATATCCAATTTCATATTATAAATACTGTAATAATTTACTATTTTTAAGCAGTTCTTTAATCGTCGCCGATAGACCGAGAGAGCCCCCCTCGATGGCAAGCATTCTTCAATTAGGCAATCCTGCCATATAGACCCTTAAGAAGCTCCTGTTATTTTTGCAAATAAATGATATGTGACTATTACACATATTAAATTATTATTAAATGATATGTGACGACCAGAAAAAAATTAATTAAATATGTATATTAAAATGTAATTAAAATCCGTATATAGAGGGTATATGCCAAGCTCCTTAGGAGGAAATTTTTTTGTTTTTATATATGTTGTAGAACTAATTTTTCTAAGACACAAAAAAGCATATTCGACGAAAAAATCGGAAACGGTTAGTGAGATACAAATTTTTTAATATTTAAAAGCTGTAAGGAAAAGGTCCGTACCTCCCTCTGTCCCCCATTTTTAAATAATCAAAAATTTATATATAATCAGCCGCTTCCGAGTGTTTTGTCAAAATATGTTTTTTGTGTCTTAGGAAAATCAGTTCTAAAACACTACAAAAATAATTTTCCTCTGAAGCATAACTTTAAATTTGAATATAATTTTCTTTTTTTCTCCATTCTTTATAATAATAATAATAATAATAATAAACAAATAAATAAATACCTGTAATAAAAACTAGGCTATGTTCGAGCTTCCTTAACGTTACATAGTGATACCAACTGGCACTGACTTCTGTGAGACAATTGATAATAAAGCAAAACACAGGGGCGAATCTGGGTTCAATTTTAGGGGGGGGGGGTCAGAATGTTTCCAAACCCACAAAATGAAAGGGTGTCCGGGAAAATTTTGATTCCTAGATGGCGGGAAATGAGTTTTCCTGACTTCTGCGGAGTCTTTTAATAACTTTTAAGTTCTTCAAAATTTAACGTTTTCCCCCTCTTGAAAACGGTCAGGTAAATTTTCTCATTCTTTTAAAAATCACCTTATTTTGCGAATAAGCGCCCCTCACCTGATCATCGACATCCCACCCCACTTCACCTTCACCCCACCCCCAAATCGCACACAAATCATACGACGTCACTGACAACGCCGGAGATGGCAACTCGATTTTGAGATAATTGTCTGAATAAAGTTATAATAAAATAACTTCTAATGACGAACTATTGTCTTCAGTTGTCTTTGTTGGTCATTCCACTGTCATTTTATTTATTTTTTCGGTGATATTATCATTCTCAATAATCTATAAAACACCCACATAACAACGTTAGATCGATCGGTGGGGACGCTGTATTGACGCCAGTAGGGTTAATTTTCGTCGGAAGGTATCAAGATGATAAACAGTTTCATTGGACTAAATTCTTGCTTATGTTAAACACATGCTTACCTAAAATTTTATTGACACTGGTTTCAAATCACGATCAAGTAGTTAAAAAACACCTTACCTTGCGAATTAGCGCCACTCAACTGATCATCTAGGCCCTCCCACTTCACCTTCGCGCCCTCCCACCCCATCAGCCTCCCATTTCAAGACATCTAGATACGCCACTGATTTGCATGACCAGATGAATGAAAATACTCAATCGATGTGCCACCAAATCGTAACCAGCCTGTACCATGCCCTTACGGTCACCGAGGACGCAACTGCCAAAAACCTATTTTTGGCATCTAAGGGACGCTACCAATAAACAACAAAATACCGGATTTCTGGGTTGATTTGCAAGGTACTACAGTATATTGCTCAACTACTCTTTAACTTAGGGGTTACTTGGTAGGAATCACGCACAAATCCTACGACGTCACTGACAACGCCGGGGACGGCAACTCGATTTTGAGATTAATTTGCCGAATAATACTAAATAACTTCTAATGACGAACTATTGTCTTACGCATTTTTCACTACGGTATTGCTTTTAACAAATAATTTACTATATGTACGTACTTTTACTTTGAATTTTTGAACTGTTTGTAACTACAGTTGTATAATTTGAATCATTACTGTCTTACAAATTTGATAGGGCCTGTGTTGTAATTATTGTGTTTTTTGTAACGTCTCATTTTAATAGGTACCAATTAAAGTGAGTTAACAAGGGCCGAGTTGGTGTATGGATGTCATGGGCCGAATTGGTTAAGGCCGAGTTGACAAGCGCCGAGTTTGTTCATGGCCCGAGTTGGTGAAGGACCGAGTCATTATGGTCGAGTTAGTCCTCATGGTTTTATTCTGTTGTCACTGAGAGCTGCTCTGAAGTCATTTTAATTCTCTATGGTTTCAATCTTGCAATCATGCTTTGCCTCATGTTTGTTTAAACTGTTTGTATCTAATATTATATTTTGAATTTTAGTCTTCTTCCGTTGATTTCATACTACTCCTATTTTATATTCATATATTATATGGAAACAAGTTTCTTTAGGTTTATTAAAAATAAAAGTACCTGTATCAGTTACAATAAATAAATAAATAAATAAATTGCAATGGAATTTATCACGGTTGCAGTTACACTACCTCCAGACAAGAATAAAAACGAACAATTGTTCTCGTAAACGATTCTATACTTTAATCCAGGAATTTGACTAGCAAAAAATACATTGAATTGTGTAGAGGGTATAGGCCTACATATGCTTTCAATCTACAGATAACTGTGTTGTATGGTGATGTTGGTGATACATATTATGCCAAACCAGTATCAGTAAAACAAGAACGGTCGCCTTTAAAGCAACAACGGTAGCAATTACAGAAAACAGCTTGGTTCTACGAGACGCAGCAGTTGATAAGTCGTATTCGCCTTTACGAAATAATAGAGCAACCTTAAAAAAAATATAAAGAACATAAATATACACATAAGCCAAATAGAGTAACTCTAATAACAATATACTAAAACATCTGTTGAATTTTTTTATTTTAAACGCAACAGGATTTGTGAGAGGAAATGGAGAATGGCATCATTTTCGTTATTCCATTTCACAATAGTATTAGTAAAATTGCAATTTAGACACTAGAAAAAATCATAAAAATGTTCTCTTATTATAACCATCGTCCATATTACCATTCTACTAGCATTTTTGGAGAGTAAAGTAATATATTTAATCTTATTTTAACTCCTATACACTAAAATTTTGCAGAGGCTCAGTATTATCTTTTTGTCGATTTCAGGTTCAAAAGTTTTCTTATTTTACACACTTTTCAAAGATACTAGTTAATTATTATTGTACAGCAGTGTCGTTGTTATATTATCATTGAGGGTATTATTTACATAGTCACATTGACTGCACTTAAGTTACAGATAAGATTTGTTGGGTTTTTAATTTTTTTTAAATAAATAAAAACCTCATTTGAAATTTCACCTCAGTGTCAATTTGTCCCTATTTTTTAAGCAATTTCAGGTTCAGTGTTCTTATAAAAAAAAAATATTTCAATAGATCATGTTTAATGTTAATCACAATGCACTGTACATTCAACCTGTTATTTCTGTAAACAACTTAACTAATGCTGGAGATTTTGTTTCTATACTGTACTTATAAATACTTGGAGTACTATAATAAAGGTCATATATACTATATCTCTACAATTAACATAAGAAAAAAAATCTCACATATTATAAATATTATATTGATTTGTAATAAGATTATTGTTTTAATTCACTTTGGAATAAACAACATTAAATAATGTTACAATGACAAGAAGATTGTTTGAATCTTGTTAAGAAAACTGTTCATATAATATTTCAATTCAATTCAATTCAATTCACTTTATTGCTTCATAAGCCATCGAGGGCTACTACTGTATCCACTTAAACTATACATATATAGGCCTACACATAAATACATTGAAAAGAAAAACATGTAAAATAAAGCACATGCAACTACTTCATATATATATATACTACTTCATATATATATATATATTATATATATATATTATGTATATATACATACAAATTGAATGAAAATAAATTTTACAAAGGTTACAATATTAAAAAATTACAATTTCATAATTATGATTCCCTTATTTTGCCTGGTAGTAAGGATTGGTAAAATTATTGTTTAAAAAATCGTAAATCTGACTGAATTCGTTTTGGAAAATTACACCATAAGAGAATATCCTGCACCACAATCCAGTATTGCATTACATAAACATTCGCACTACCAGATCATAAACATAACATAGGCTATGCACAAACTGCTTAATGTACTAATTTACATAATGCGCTCATGCAGTTATTCATACGCACTTTAACTAGGCGTTAATATTCGACGGATTAGCGATTGTGTTGGACGTACCAAAACAGCTTGAGAGTGCACGTGATCGGTAACAACAGGAACTTGCAGTATTTTATACTCGGGTACAATGTCATTCTCTCTGATATCTAATAGAAAATAAAAAATAAAATATCACGGGTTAAAATTACCGTATTTATTCAAATAAACGCCCCCGGGTGCTTATTGTTGAGACGTATTTCTGAGGCGGCGTTTATTTAAGGTGTAAAATGGACACATTACTAATGAACGCCCCTTAATTCCACTGTAAATGTGGAACTATAACACACTATTTCCGTCAAAATGTGCTGTTGCGTGGTCATAAATATCCCAATTAACCATGTTAGAAAAAATGTAATTCTACTTGAGTACAATATAAACAGAATATGTTGAGTCATTTAGGGAGGTGGAGTTTATTGGAGGTAGGTGTTTATTCCTAATGAGGCTCTGATGGGACGTTCATTCGAGGGGCGGTTATTCAAAGCGAGGCGTTTATTTGAATACAAACGGTATTATAAGCTATGATGACAAGTCGTAAATTTATTGAGGGTTTCTGACTTCTGCATTGAGCAACAATGTTGTCTTGATTCATCTAAATATCTAAATATAGATTGACTGAATACATTAGATGCAGTAATTAATAGATGGCTATTATATAATGAATACACAATGATGGATCAGTGACAGAATGAGTAAACCATAAGCAGTAAACAGAGGCAATTTTCAAATTTCATAATAATAATAATAATAATAATAATAATAATAATAATAATAATAATGATAATAATAATAATAATAATGATAATCCACTAATATTAATAATAATAATAATAACAATAATAATAATAATAATAATAATAATAATAATAATAATAATAATAATAATAATAATAATAATAATAATAATAATAATCCACTAATATTAATAACAGGCTCAGCGAAGATACTAATAATAAGCATAATAAAGATGATGATGATGATATTTTTGCTTGTGCAATAATTTATTATGAAATGTAACTATTGTAAATTTTCTTGTTAATGCCCTTCAAATTTTTATAATTTTACAAACCAAATACATAATAATAATAATAATAATAATAATCCACTAATATTAATAACAGGCTCAGCGAAGATACTAATAATAAGTATAATAAAGATGATGATGATGATATTTTTGCTTGTGCAATAATTTATTATGAAATGTAACTATTGTAAATTTTCTTGTTAATGCCCTTCAAATTTTTATAATTTTAAAAATTTCAAATACAAAATATGTCCTTTTCTTAATTGCTTTTTGATTCTATCTTAAATTCAATTTTATATGTTTATATTTCAGAGATGATATTAATTGTCATAATAAATAAATATATTGATTTATAAATAAAAAAATTCAAATTTATTTGTTTAATTAACATAAGTTGAAATAAATATTAAAATAATAAATATTATTTTATTAATTATAAAAATTATGAATCAAAATTATCATTTTAAATTGTAATGTTTGTGCATATTGTATTTTTTTAATGACTTATATTATGTATTTGGTTTGTGTTTTATAGGTTACTGTAACGAGGAGCCGAGTCTCGCATTCTCATATGACAAAAATGTCTATGTTACGTTTATAGGGATAATATAAAACTCATGGGACTGTCACTATGTTGACGCGTTCATGATATTCGACCCTTTTGTGCTTTTTGACCCACTGTTGAAAAGCACTCAGAACTATCAAGTGTATAGGAATCGTCTTTCTTGTTCGAGACGATGCGCTTGCGTTACCATTGACGCATGATATAAAGTATTTAATTTTCTATTGAAAAAAACCGGAATAGGCCTAGCGCGTACTTTGAGCCATGCTCAGTAACCATAGCATCTACTTAGTGAATATTAAGAATTGAATAGATAGTGTGGTTTGCAGTAATCCTATGGAATGCTAATACAGAATATAACAATGGCGTCTAAAACAAATTTGTAGATGAATGACGAAATACGAATGAAAAATAACGATTGATAATGACAATGATGATAATTTATTATTATTATTATTAAATAACAACCAAAAGTGATGATCTTACTAATTTACTTACTTTCTTTTCCATTACCAGTATTTCAGTTTCCCGTGATAGGTGATAATAATGATAAAAGATAATAATAACGGTACTGGTCATTTAACTAACGATGACGATGATGATTATCAATTATATTAACAATAAAAATATATGAAAGGAAGGGATATCATTTATTTATTTATTTAAAATATTAGTGAAAACAGTTTCATTATTAATATCTTATATAAATTTAAGATGATAATAAAATAAGCATAACATCTAGGCCTATAAAGATTTAATAATGATCTAAAATGAATTATTAGTGTGCGTGATATGTAAACAAAAGTTCTGGTGTGTGTTTGTTTGGTCTAGGCTCTTATTTAAAATTTTTGATTAACAGCCTCAACATATCAATACAAAATTATTAAATTTGCTGCCTCAACATGTTGACGTCTTACAAAGTTGATAGGCCTAGGACTCCTGATTCTGACATTTTTTAAACGAAGGGGTACCAATTTTATATTGATAGGTCTAGATTTAGCCCTAATAAAATATTCAATGCTGGTATGATTCATGATTAGTACATGCGGTTTCATTTCTGTTAAAATAAAAGACGGCAGTGGCAATACAAGGTGAGGGGAGAACATGCCCTGCATGCCCCAACTTAAATCCGCCCTATGATTAAGAGCGCCTAAAAATTGTTTTGTGTTGATATGGAAAATGCCTAGGCCTGCGTGTAATCCCAAAAATCAGTTAGATTATGTCGTCTTTGAAATTATGGTGTTTCCTTGCTTCATTTTATTATCTATTTATCGTTAATCTATGTAGCCTTGCTGAACCGGCAACGATTCTATAATGTGGCACTGTAAAAACAGTAATTTTTCATGAAAATATAAGATGATAATCACCAAGCACTCGAACAATCTCTGAGAGAGGCCGTGATAATTGGAGTGAAGGTCCTAAAACTGGCACGTACCAACATTACAGTGTCAAAAAGTGACGGGCGGAGCGTAGGAGGGTGTAGGGGCTGTACAATAATTTCGGGTGCAGAAGGCAGCAAATACAGCTCACACTTGACCACCAGTCAAACACCTTTGCTTTGCTGCTATATGAATGAATGCTGAATATTGGACGTTGCCGGAAACAAAGGCCCATTGAAGATGAATCGTCAATATATTGACTAACACCATCATCCATCTTTAGGAACCCATTCATAGAGTTTTGTTCAGTCAACAAATCAGTGGACGCTGTTTGCAGAAAAGCAGTGAAAACACTTGAAAAAATGGAAAGTCCATTACACTTAAACCATCGATGTTTGTTCGAAGCCTAAAATTTTAGTGCCATTGAAACCAGTGAGGAGTACCGGTACAATATTCCTCATTGGAGGATGTGTAGGCGACGGAGTAAGTTAAAAGTAAGTAGATTCAAACTTGATTGTTTGTTTTCTGTTTTTTAGATAAAGCTGCTGTCAAATTAAATGGGATAGCGTACATTATATTGTAAATATAAATTGCAAATGATGTATGCCTCCATCTCGAAGTGGCATCGAAGTGCAAACATTGAAGGAATTTAATATTAAGAGTGCAACAACAAGTTTTCTTGTTAGTTACAGCTGCGAACGCAAGGTACAGGTAAGTGTTCATAAGTTTTTCATGGCCCGTTTGAAGCAGTGGAGTATTTACGGGAGTACCCCCCCCCCCCAAAAAAAATAAATAAAATAAAAAATTACTAGCGTTCACATGCCTATACAGTGTACGGTGATTGTAACACGAATTTGTAAGAAAATCGGTGTACGACTTCATGTCAGGGATTTCTGCATCACAAAAAATTCTCGTTTCATTACCAACTCTATATGAAATCTGCAATGATAATTTCTAAGTGGTAATTTATATTGCATTAATATCTGTAAAGGTATTCTGTAATTTGCATACAATGTAAATTTATCTTTATATTTATATTTGTTAGTATATGGATATGTAAAATATGATTAACATATTCTTGACAGTATGCTGTCGTGCTGAGCTGGCCTATCATCGTTATTTTGTAATAGACATGCTACTTTTTTTGGATGGATTGACTAAAAAATTAATGGCGTAACCGTATTCATAATCGTTTCGTATGTTTACAAAACCTTCCAAATGTCAGGCTAGCTTCACATTATCCTTGTTTCATTTTCCGATGTTTTCATAATGAATATTAATTTTACGACAGTTCATTCTGTACCGTAATTGACAACAATTTCAATTGCTATTCATGAGAAAGAAAATGTTATTAGGCCTATTTCATTTTTTTTCAGACTCTAATCACTAAAGATGAAGATTACTCTGTGTTTCATCGTCGCCTTTATTTCCTTATGTTTCGGTTACACGATTGAAAGGAAGGCCGGTAAGTTTTAGAAAAGGAACAGATACTTTGAAAAATGTTTGTGACTGTGTGTACCGTGCGGAAATACGATAATGTACCCTTAAAATCTTATACATGTAAAATGTAATAACGTAATGGCATATTAAAATCAATGTAATGCAATCGACATGTATGCATTACAATGTAATATTCCTTTTCCAGTTTATAAAAATTATACAAACTGAAGACTATAAATATTGTATACCCTATCGAGTGTCAGAGGAAAATTTTGAAAATTGATCGGTGGCTTTCCGATCCGAAAATTTCGGATTCCGTGTGAAAGTACCCTAAGTCACCTGATATAAAAGCAACATTCAGTCAGTCAAAAGGAAACTAAAATTCAATTATTTATCATCGATACGCTGAATTAGAAACAGTGATGGAGCCAGCTGGGGTAAAAAAGGGTAATCACCTCATCGGAGAGACTTTCTCCCCACCCACGACCGACGGACCACAACCATTAACTTATCCCATGTTTTCCTCCATGCTTATCCAATCAATGGTATTTAGATTGCCAATCCCTAATATTATGTTCTAATCTAAAAGCACAATTTTGGGTCATATTAGACCAATAAACTCTCTCCATGATCCCTACCATGTATATTTATACCTGGACCCTGACCGAGATAGCTCTATTCGGTCCTTTTGTTCGGACGCGATAATTGTCATACAATAATATCGGACACCTAATGAAACAAACGATAATTTTAAAAATTAATTTTACAGATTATATAGAGAGGGTGATGTAACCATTCCTGTGTGTCCTACAAGGTCAGCTGATATTCAGGCGCACTCTGTTTGGAAATTGAAATTAATGTTACATATTGTATTCTTTTCTTGTATTTCATTTTCTTACATGGATGGTTTACTATTTTTGACCTGTACTCAGCTTTTCTTATGATGGTTTAGTTGTGGGTGCATCATTAATGGATGATAGAATTTTATTTCGTCTACAATTCAAATGTAAGTTTGTTTATTATTTATGCATATTATGATCATTATTATTTTTGTTATTATTCAGGAATTGTACTTTTCCTTTATTTTATTTATTTTTTATTTTATTTTATTCATTCTGTATAAATTCTTTAAACAATAAAACATTACAAATACAAGAAATCGGAAATTCACAAACAAAGAAAATCAGGTGAGCCAGGGAGCAGCAAAAGCGAAACCACTGTCATCTAAGAGATGTGCTGCTCCCAGAAAAAAATAAAAATAAAGAAATAAAATAATAATAATAATAAAAATATTAATAATAATAAGATAATAATGGAATAATAATAATGATAAACAAAAAAGAACAATTAAATATCATTAACATATTTTTTTAACTTGCATTTGAACAAATCAAAATTAAAAGATATAATGAAACAAGTGTTCATTATTCTGCAAAGTCTCATTATGAGGCTTAGGGAGGAGTGGAGTTATTTTTTTGTCGTAAAAAAAAGTCCTGCGCTGGGATTTGAACCCAGGGATTTGAATGGCAAGTATCTTGACCACCAAGCTTGACTCCACTACATGATATTACAGTATCAGCTGTCAAACAACATTGTGGTATCTCGTACAATTTTTAATTTATTTACAGTGACTGTTAGCAGCATACGCTAAGTCCTTTTCATATTTTCTCTTGCCTTCCAACGTAAACTTATAACAACAAACAATTGTTGTATAGGTTATTACTGGTGCTGCCAAAGGTAAGATGCACACACCTGCCGCTATCCATCTGTCGTTGGTGTGGTTTAGTAGACATCATTGAAAATGATCATCTGTATCATCCTAACAGTTGCTCTACAAAAGAAAAACAGTAAATATTCTCTGAAACTTCTGTTATAAATGCAGGGCAGGGCAGGGCAGGGCAGGAATTTTGGTCTTGAAGGGACCAAGGCCATTAATCCCTACAAAGAATCATGATGAAAGAATTCTATGAATGTTGAGTAAATTCTGCATACAGGTTCATGAGCAGTTTTTCTGAATTTAATTATTTTTATTATTATTATTATTTATTATTATCATTTCATTTACTAATTTAATTTGGTGTTCCATATGTGTTCCATATGTGTTTGATTCAATGACCGGGGTAGTAATGTGAAGCGCTTAGAGGCCTTGTAAAGGCATGAAGCGCTATATAAGAACGACATATTATTATTATTATATTTTGTAAAATTTTAAAATTTTATCAACTTTAGTCAAATACAAAAAAAAAAACAACCTATGTTCCATGCAATGATCAAGAAAGCTGTTTTGAAATTGTAGAAAATCAAATATAATTAATTACTCTAAAAGGCACTTTCTGTGCTCGACGGTCATCGGCCGACGCGATTCTATAAAGAACGGATCGTTTTTAATGGTGATCCGTTCAGATTGCCATCCACAATCAGCAGACGACATCACGCTGTCTATCGCTCACCGGGAGCGCAGTTTGATTCATCGTGCAACGGTCATACAACGCGGTGAGTGCCCAGGCTTAATACGGTGTAGTACTTACATTGAGAAAAAGCCGTTTCGGCGTAGAGCCTTATCCACGTAAAGCACCACCTCTCAATCTGAGTGCAAGCCTTATCCACTTACAGCACCACATCTCAAACCGAGTCCAAGCCTTACACACGTACAGCATCACTTCCAAATCCAAGCCTTATCCACGTATTAAGTACCAGCTCTCAATCCCAGTCCAAGCCTTACACACGTACAGCATCACTTCCAAATCCAAGCCTTATCCACATATTAAGTACCAGCTCTCAATCCCAGTCCAAGCCTTGTCCACGTAAAGCACCACCACTCAATCCGAGTCCAAGCCTTATCTGCATATATAGCACTTTTTGAGAAACTTAGAAGGGTTCAGTCTCTCTGGGACTTCCAAAGTCAACTACTGCATGCAGTGCCAAGATCTAGGATTTCGAAGGCCTCCGATGAACTGTACTTATCAAGACAGCTGAAAAAAGAAAGCATTAGCAGCACAGAAAACAGCTGATACACTGTAGGCCTACGATGAACTGTACTTATCAAAACAGCTGAAAAAAAGAAAGAATCAGCAGCACAGAAAACAGCTGATATACACCCTCACAAAGTAGAACTGGGGTATAAGTTAGACAATACAGTACTCTAAAACTTGCATCTGTATTATATATAATTTGATGTTTTACTTAGTTTGACTTAGACAAGTTTTAAAAGGACCACTTGGTTCCTACCCAGATTCTACTTGCTATCTATACCTTGTTGGTAGGGGTAACATGCTTTTTTTGGGGGGGGGGGAGAGGGTAACAATATGATTTAACTTGTAATCCATTTTGATACATGCATGCATTTATATATTGGTTCAATTCATATAATCCAAAATCTGTGAAAAAATAAAGAAAGATTATAAACATGACTATGGTGATTGAATACTGAAATTGATTCGTGAAATGCCACTAACTCTATTATGCCTGTATTCAAATTTTCAGAAAAACAAAAAAAACTAAAACTTGCTTTAAGATTTCACCATGTACTGATTTTGCACAGGGAAATGCTTCATTGTTTGAAAAAAATAAATATTATGATGATGATCTGCACCACCTTTTGTGAATTGATTGAAAGAATGGGAAGATTGATAATGTTAATTTATGACTTGATTAAAAAGAGTCTGAAATACTGTATGTAGATTCCACTGCTGTACCTCAAAGTACTACTGTAGTTCACAACTTATCATATTCCATGGACAGGGGTCCCAATTTGGAATAAGTCAATTCTGAGAGCAGGTGGGGGGGGGGGGGAACAGGGCCCCGTCAAGAAGAGCTCCCCTAACCAACAGCTTTTTTAGTTTGTACTGTAGTTGGCACACCATGTGAATGTGCTAAATGCATTAAAGGATGTGCTACAGCCATGGATTGTATAATTTAGGCCACAAAGAATATGTACCGGTAACCTACATTTACCAAGCACCACTGACAGTATGAAGGAAGACAACAAAAGCCAAGAGAATGATCATAAAATAAACCATAGGCCTACAGATATTTAACACAATGTTTCTGAAGTCTTATATTATATCTGTTACTTTTTAATAGATTGAAGTTTAACAGAAAATTAAGAGCTAAATATGCTATACCTAGTAGTAAACCATGGTCTTATCCAGCTACTAACTTTTGTAAAAATTGAAATCCATTTCGGTTTTATGTACACTAATGAACGTTTTCTATGAGTTCCTTCAGCAAACAAAAAAAAAATATAATTACTTGAAATGAAATCCTTAATAATTGAACCAAAAGGACGAAAGTTTAGAAATAAAACAAGGAGGTTCAGAAATAAAACAAGGAGGTTCAGAAATAAAACAAAAGATATAATTGTAGACTTCAACAACCCATCACAGTACAGTACAGGGAAAAAAACCACGCCCTTTCTTTATAAGATAAATGGAGCCTCATTCAAATATGAAAAGCCACCTTCGTGAGGATACTGTTGGAAATTAGATTGTTTTCAATAGTAATATTATTTGATTCTTTCTATCACAATTACAAAATTGGTAATATCAGAGAGAGAGAGAGAGAGAGAGAGAGAGAGAGAGAAAGGGGGGGGGGATATGACATGAGGTAAACATTCAAGATCCAGACATAAACATGATGTCACAATTATAGCGACTGCTGTCAAAGTGCTCAAAGGATAGGAAACATTTTCATTTAGGAAAAATCAGATTCTATTGTTGACTTTTTTTTTTTGTAATTGCTTTTATCAAACTTTTATGCAGGTTTCATATTAATCTGATTTTCATAAAAACAATATATTTTTTAACTTCTATTAGCAATGAGGGAACTATAATAAAATTAAATTTTATATATTTTTTCTGGCAGTATTAATTGCAAATTGTTTTCAATTTGGTTGTAATATTGCTTCCTACATAATATCTTGAACTGTTGCATGCATTTTCATTTTGGCATTCAAATCAAATACATTTTCAATTTAATTTCATTAAAGCAAATTAAAATTTAAAAATATGTAAATGTGTAAGTAAAAAAGTACAATTATACTTGTATCATTTTTGTTTTGTTACGTTATTGTATGTTTGGTTTTTTCTGAGATATGTTAATACATGGTGAAAATCACTTTTAAATGGGCCTTCACAATTATTAATATTGTAGACAGCAGTGTTATTTTTTATTACAATATGCAGTTAAAAATCCATCGATATCTTGCTTGGTACTGTTTTGCAATCAACAATGCAATAGTCATAATTGATATCTTTTCAGTTTTGTGGTCACTTTGCGAAAACTTCAACCATGTTACTCAAATTCTACATTTGACACCATAATCTTCTTTCCTGTCAAACTCAAATCATTGGTGCATTCTGGGTGATCAGTTTGTAGTTCTTTGGTTCAATTGCAGCAACAGTCGCTATTGAAGCCTTTAACAATATATTCTTGATTTATCAAATCTCACATTAACAAAGGAATTCCACTGCTATAGTCTAGTTATTCCATTTCAAATTTGGTCACTATGGCTCAAGGGGTTCCATTGTCTCTACCAGAGCTTGTTGCTGTCAGACAACACTCAACAGCAGCAGTGTATGTTTTCCAGGTTTTTGCTGCAAAACCACAGATCATAGCAACTTCATATCGGTTATGTGAATAATTAACAGAATTATTGTAACTGCAGATACTTTATCATACTTTGTTATTAACATTAAGATACACAGCTGTTACATTCTGGCTACTGTTGTGTCTTGGCTGCCATGATTCTCTTGTATCCTCACATCAGCAGTAAACTTTACCAAGAAATTGTCCATTGGTTCCAGATCAGTCTGAAAATTCAGGCTGAGTATACGATTGTCTCAGAGGTAGAGCTATTAAATCTTCAAATAACCAATTAACAGGATGAGTCCAATGCATGAGCACAATAACTGCTTATCAATATGCCATTTTTCTTTGGAATGGTTCTGTCTTTAAAAGAAATTTCATGATGTTGCTTTAGTGTATATTGTAGAACAAATAAGTTACGGATGGCTATATTTATCAATTGAAAAGTATGAGAATGCATAACAACAAATGATGGCTGTAGAAAAAGATGGTAATGGCCAAAAAGAATACAGTATTTAAAACATTTAGGATGGACAATTGTATAGCGCCTGTCAGAATATTATTTGTCACTGGCGCTTAGATATACAATTTAAATATGTATAATTGATAAAAATATTTAGTTTTAAGAGGGTCTACCACGCATCAGTATCACAAATGGACGGAAGTTCTATAATTTACGGGGGATCTAAAGAAAAAGGATGGTCCCAGTTTACGGAAGTATGTCTTAGAAATGTAAAATGGGTTAAATTTAAAGTTAAATTATGTATGCAAGCTGCTATAAATTTAAAAACATTCAATTATTTTAGATGCTTTGTATTGAAATTTAAAAATAAAGAGTTATGTGTAAATAAACAATTAAATCAAGAAGAGTAAAAAGACAGCACAAGTCCTTGTGACAATATTATTGAAATCGGAGAATTTTAAAGCTCTGGCCTTTGAATCAGGTTCTTTCCTGTCTCAGACGAAAAAAAAAACACATCAGTGTAGCAAAGATATAGACACAATGTCAGTAACAGAGAGAGGTAAATATACTTTATGTACACACCTGTGGACAATGCCACCAAACTAGTGGAGAAACCAAACTGTACTACTGTATACTGCAATTAAACTAATATATGCTATAAAAGTAGTAATTTATTTCTACACATGAACCATGTTTTTGTTAGTCCTATTATATCTTTTAATAGGAATCATAGTAGTACTTGCGTTAACCTTAACACAACACGTTAATTGTTAAAGTATGGAGCAAATACAAAGCTAAAGAACAAGAAAAATCTGTTTCCAGTGGAAATGTACTGTATACACGTTAATCCTTCATTTTAATAACATTTCTACACGTGAACCATGTTTTGATTAGTACTACTATATCTTTTAATAGGAATCATAGTAGTACTTGTGTTAACCTTAACACAACACGTTAATTGTTAAAGTATGGAGCAGATACAAAGCTAAAGAACAAAAAAAATCTGTTTCCGGTGGAAATGTACTGTATACACGTTAATCCTTCATTTTAATAACATTTCTACACGTGAACCATGTTTTGATTAGTCCTACTATATCTTTTAATAGGAATCATAGTAGTACTTGCGTTAACTTTAACACAACACGTTAACAGTTAAAGTATGGAGAAAATACAAAGCTAAAGAACAAGAAAAATCTGTTTCCAGTGGAAATGTACTGTATACACGTTAATCCTTCATTTTAATAACATTTCTACACGTGAACCATGTTTTGATTAGTCCTACTATATCTTTTAATAGGAATCATATTAGTACTTGCGTTAACTTTAACACAACACGTTAATTGTTAAAGTATGGAGCAGATACAAAGCTAAAGAACAAGAAAAATCTGTTTCCAGTGGAAATGTACTGTATACACGTTAATCCTACATTTTAATAACATTTCTACACGTGAACCATGTTTTGATTAGTCCTACTATATCTTTTAATAGGAATCATAGTAGTACTTGCATTAACTTTAACACAACACGTTAACAGTTAAAGTATGGAGAAAATACAAAGCTAAAGAACAAGAAAAATCTGTTTCCAGTGGAAATGTACTGTATACACGTTAATCCTTCATTTTAATAACATTTCTACACGTGAACCATGTTTTGATTAGTCCTACTATATCTTTTAATAGGAATCATAGTTGTACTTGTGTTAACCTTAACACAACACGTTAACTATTAAAGTATGGAGAAAATACAAAGCTAAAGAACAATAAAAATCTGTTTCCAGTGGAAATGTACTGTATACACGTTAATCCTTCATTTTATTAACATTTCTACACGTGAACCATGTTTTGATTAGTCCTACTATATCTTTTAATAGGAATCATAGTAGTACTTGTGTTAACCTTAACACAACACGTTAACTATTAAAGT